CCGCCAAAATCCGACCCTCAAACCCACCATACCGAGATTCCTGCCCTGAAATCTTTCTGGCCCGTCCAATTCTTCACAATCTCTCTGCATCATCCTTCTCCTCCTCTCCCTCTCCCTCGTCCTCTCCTTCGTCTCGCCTGTGCATTGTGTGTTTCTCCTTCCAAGGTCGGCCCAGAAAAGAGACGGAAATCTGAGCGGCAGTGAGGACCAAGCTTGCATCGGAAACAAAACCGGAGACCGCATACCAACAACAGCACTACCACTACCACTACCGCTACCGCTACCGCTACAACCACCACCACCTGTCTCTCGCTCGCTGACATCTCAGCCACTTGTGGATTGGAGCTGGATACTGGAGCTAGATCTGGACCTGGAGCTAGACCTGGAATTGGAATGGAAACTCGATCAAGGGTCCCGCTCATCCAAGCAAGCTGCGAAAGTCTCGCTTGTTGTACCTTACATCACCTCGCTCGATCCTGACGAACCACCCCTGGTGGGAATGAGGCAAAAAAAAAGTTGGAAATAACCCGAATCCGCCAAAGGCAGAGAAAGATCTGCGGACGCCGGGAAGAAAAGCGAGCAACAGCATGCAACATACTAACCGGTACCCATTGATCAATCTCTTAGAAAAAGCATGAACCCGACCATCACATACATGCTCATTCCACTCCAACCTTACAGAATCGCCCGCGGCAAAACCGCCAACAAAAAGCAACGCCAAAGCAACGATAGCATCACCCCTAGACGCCTTTCCAACGACTGATGATATGCACATTGCGTCTACAACTAGAGAGGATTTGAGAAAACGGCGTGAATCCGTTCTTAAAAGCGTGTATCTGATGCACTCGTACCAGTCACATCGACGTGTAAACGAAAGGGCTTTTTGAGAAGCAGAACAAACGACAACTGATGTCTACTTGTGCAATTTCTCTTTGCGCCTTGTCCCCTACAATCCTCGAGTACGCCCATATTGTCGTCGTCGTTGGTGGGAGGAGGACGCCCTTGTGGCCCGGGAGGAATGGCGGCCGACCTCACCGATCCCGGCCTCGATAGCGCCATTCGACAACTTCTCGATCAGCAGGCCGAGATTCAAGCAAGGCTTGCTGCCTTACTGCCCGCAAAGTATGGTCTCAATGCCAAGTTGGAGCTTGACATGCTCCGCCACAAGTTGCGGGTTCTACAGGCCTACTCTGAACATCACCGTAAGATGCCGCGCTCCAATAATGTCTTGCCTGATCCCCCTTTCAATCGTCCGACTAACAATGCTCTTAGATATTTCTGCCAGCATACCAGTCAATTCTGAATTCGAGGAGGCTAGGTCATTGCAGTACCGATGCGAATGTATAGAGACTGCTTGCTTTGAGCAAGGTGAATTGGCCCCGTCCCGCCCAAACATTGGCTCGCAGCCAGTTTCTAACACAGTTTCCAGGGCACGATCTGCTGGACCCAAACATGGTTGATGCCCTCAAACGATCTCTGTACGACGAAGCGCCGACTGGCTATGCGGCTTGGTTAGACCGTAATCTTGAAGGCCACGACCCGGTAGTCCGTGGATGGAAGATGAGAGAAAGCCTGTCACCGTCGTCCCGGTCCACGTCTTCTTTCAAGTGCTGGGACGAACGCTGCATACATTACATCTACGGCTTCCACAACAAGGATGAGCGAGATAATCATGCCCGAGAGCATACCTTACACCCCCATCGCGACTCGGGTCTATCAGTCGGCAACACACCGCCGATTTCTTTTCCTGAATACCAGACATTGCGACCATGGGGCCCCGAGACAGCAAAGCAGCCGCTGGCGCTTCAACTTCCAAAGCCATCGCCCGGCACCCAGCTAGCTCCCTTGACAACAAGCCAGACGAAAGAACGCCGTGATACTCTCCAATCCTACTCGCTAGTCAGCGAATATTCCGCTCCAGGACGCGGTTCTGTTGATTCCGAAGTCGATCCGTTGCTGCCCCCTTTGAAACGTAGCAGGGTTGGACAGTCTCGTCTCCAGTCGATTGGCGAGCTCAGGCTGCTTCAAGACTCTGGACCATGCTTACGCTGTATGGCCACTAAGCAACCGGTAAGAATCATAGTCTACTACAGCTTTCTGGTACAGGTTCATTGACACATAATGATAGTGCGACTCGAACGAGCCCTGTTACTATTGCGCCGACCAGCCACTTAGTCCAGGCAGTGACTTTTGGAAGGCTATCGGCTGTCATCGTGGGCCCCTTGACGCCTTTTCGGACATCATGCTCCCAGGTCAGTACCCGAGTTCTAGAAGAAACAAACCCGGTCTAACAAACAAGCTCCAGTATCTCCAAGACACTCACAGACTCCAATCACATCTCCGCTAGCCCAGCGAAGAAGCATGAACGAGCATCTAGAACACAGCTACCGCATATCACCGGACATACTACACGCGGTCAAAGCAAATCTTGATTTTGATGACGGGTTCTGGTGGACGGAAGAACTTGCAAATCTTCCTTTAGCTAACGCTACGCTCTCAAACTACCCTAGAGAAACGATCGATCGACCACCGCCAATCTTGAATATCCTAACAGCGAGTTGGAATGGCGGAGGAACCTCATACAATTTTCTCCACCTTCTGAAGACGAGCGGTCTAATTGCGGCCACGAGAGAGATGGAGGAAGCAGTATTCCCAGTGTTGTATCGGGCGAAACTCTTGCTGCGAGAGGTCATATTCTGGGACCTTCAGCAACCGGAACCTTCGATTCGCCTCGACGGAGGTCCCCCCCATCGGCCCCTATTTACTGACGAGGTCGATCAAGATGCTCATTATCGTTTACTCTACAATTGCATGGCGCAGTTCCTTCAGGCATTTGAGAGTGCCACGGTCAAGAAGGGGCCACAGGACCCGAAGAACTGGTCCGCAGTGTTTATTGCACTTTGCATCTTCAGTGTTGTACGTACGATCTTGGTGGATATTGCCTCTTACCTGCCGAGACGTCTGTCATCGCACACTCCTCCAGCCTGGAGGGGGACAGGCGGTGTGCATGCCATGAATAGCGTCTACAAACTTTTGGTCACGCTCTTTACAAGTTCCGGACCCATGTTACTCGACGAACAGGCCGTGGATCTCGATGAACGAGACAGCGCCATCACGGACTCCTTGTACATGGTTACGCGCAAGGACGTCTGGGCTCAGCAGGGTTATGCTTCTTCCAAAGATTTCTTGATACATCTCGGAGATGGCAACATGGAAGGCGCAGCCACATTCAACGGGTTTCTCAGGCAAAGAGTTCCAGCACGTACCAGTATGTTCGTTCTTCCGCCCATCGCCAAACCCGGCGAAGAACCTAGACGTCCTATGCACGACCCTCGAGCTTTGGGCGATCCTTGGATCCCGAACCCGGCCCCGCTATCAGACCGAGACCCATTTGCCGCCACGATCGGTCCGGATTACCTTACTTCGCCCCAAGGAATAGATCCTTTGGGCCGCAGGCATACCGTCGGAGAGAGCCCAACATTTCCCCGAGGCCCCTCGAGGCCTTTGGAGTCCCCACTCTCGGGCGGCAGAGGGCGGCCTACGTATCAGCGACCCCCGTTGCGTCGAGTCTATTGCATAAAGTGCAACGAGTACCCTGAAGGGTTTAGAGGCGAACACGAGCTCCGTAGGCATACCGATGCCAAACACGCTTCACTGGTGAGGCGCTGGGTATGCACCGAGCCAGACACTTATAGCCCGACGTTGCCGCAGCCTGTCATACCACTTGCAAAATGTAAAGCGTGTGTGACGCAGAAACGGTACGGGGCCTATTACAATGCGGCGGCGCATCTCCGAAGAGCGCACTTCAACCCGCACAGAGGTGGAAAGGCTAGTGGAGACTGGCCGCCCATGACCATTCTCAAGGACTGGATGAGAGAGGTACGGCAGTCTGTTGATATTCAAGACCAGGACGACTCTAGTGGAGGGGAAGAGGCCGATTACAAACAGCCGCTTGAGTACTTCACCCAGGTGCCACCTCCGCCACCGCCTGCGCGATCTCCCACGTTCGGCCCAACGATGCTAGCGGCAGCACCGCCGGCCGTTGCCTTGATGATAGCTCCCGCTGAATCAATGGTGTCTTCTCAGATGAGCAGCCCATCTAGCAAAACTCTGGATAATCGGACTCGGTGTCCTCACCCAGATTGCGGCCGCGTCTTCAAGGATCTTGCAGCACACATGCTTACGCATCAAGAAGAACGTCCGGAAAAGTGCCCGATAGAGACTTGCGAGTACCACACGAAAGGATTCGCGCGCAAGTATGACAAGAATCGGCATGCGCTGACGCACTACAAAGGGACGATGGTTTGTCCATTCTGTCCAGGGGTGGGAAGTGCATATGAGAAGGCGTTTAATCGTGCGGACGTGTTCAAGCGACATCTCACTTCGGTACATAACGTTGAGCAGACGCCTCCTAATAGCCGGAAGCTCATCATCAGCGGATCCGGCAATGTTCGAGGAGACGGTGCCAAGTGCTCAATCTGCCAGAGTTATTTCGGAACAGCTCAAGAATTTTACGAACATCTTGACGACTGCGTCCTCAACGTTATTGTGCCGACGTCGGCCAAGACGCCTAGGGACTCGTCGGTATTGCCTTCAGCATCAGGCGTGGAAGAGAGGGAACGGCTGGGCGACAATGATACCATCAACGTACAGACCGGGTCGCCCGCAGGCGAAAAGATGGATACCAACCCATAGCGACGATTTGGAGTTGGGTAGATGGGACGTTGCTTTTGTTATGTATCATGTATAGGCTGGAATCATCTTTCCCCAAATACCCCCCAGGTTTGTAATACTTTTCGATACAGCTTAACTTATTAATGAAACGATACCAAAGGTCCCTGGTGGCCTGATTATTTGACGACAAACATTCTGCAAGAAGCATCTCCTCGGTGGTAACCAACCCTCCTAGCCTTAGACGTACTTGTCTTTCATAAAAAACAGGTTGGAGCGAACATCTCATGGAGCACATTGCCTTTGAGGGCAGAAGCCAAGGTTGCTGACCGAAAGGTCAAAGTATTATTAAAATACCAGAACAAGCCTATTCAAAGTGCTCGACATCTAGTCAACCACCGGTATCCTCGTTCCCATGCACAAGCCTCCAGCGCCTGTTGACCGCAGCCCCGCGCGCGCCCGCAAAGTTCATTACAGCCCATATGCACATACGTTTCCATGGCCTTGTACTTGATTTTCCGTCACTTCCTTGCTCGTACCCCTTCCTGCCATCGTTGCGTCTGAACAAAAGAAAGGGGAAACAAAAGGAAATGGGGGTGTAGTATATATATATATATATAAGAGATGGAGAGATAGATCGAGGGGAGATGTATTGGCATCAGCTTGACTCTGTGCGAGCACTTCTCAAATCTCAAAGCCGACAGAGATGAGTCCCGTGCCGGTTTTGGGCTTCCTCGCATAACCATTCAGCATCCTCCACCCGGCGCCGCATCCACGTCCCTCCTCGACAATGGCAGCGACACCCTCCACACTCTTGCCGGCCTCCCTCATCGCCGCGCCGGCCGTCACTGTGTCTGCGAGCCGCAGCTCGCCGCTGACCTTTTCCATCTCGCACCGCAGCAGCCAGCGCTCCCAGCTCCAGCCGCCGACGATGCCCGTGACGTTGGCGACGCCGTCCGTGCTGCCGGTGACCATGGCCTCCATCTGCACCGTCCTGACTTCCTCGCCGTCTGGGCTCTCACGCACGGCGAGCGGCGGCAGCGAGGGCAGAGGTTTCTGCGCTTGCGTTTGTTGTGACTGGGGGCGGGAGCCCATGGGGAGGCACATCCACGCGCGGCGGACCTCGTCGAAGCCCGCGCGCGAGAGGCGGCCGAGGAACATTTTTGTCGGGTTTGGGTCGTAGCCCAGCGTCTTGAGGTCGAAGCCGAACTCGACGCTCTTTGCGAGGCCCATGGGCCCGGCATTCATGATGTCCGAGTCGAGGACCGAGAACTCGAGGTAGCCGCCGGGCTTGAGCACGCGCATGCACTCCTTGAGACACGTCTCCCACTCGTCTTCGCCGTTCTCGCCAACGAACTTGAGGATGCTGTGCAGCTCGCGCGCCGAGATGAGGTCGAACTGGTCGTCCTTGAAGGGCAGGCGGGTCAGGCGTTCGACGGCTACCTGGCGGTGGTTGGGCGGGCCGCGGACGTTGGAGTTGGACAGCTGGCGGATCGTCTTTGTGGTGACGGTGTAAATCTTGGTGTTTGGGTACTGGAGGGCGCAGTGCCAGGCCCAGTCGCACGCGGACTGACCTCCGAGGTCGAGGATGCGGGCCCTGTCGCGGGCGACGCCGTCGCGGCCGGGCGCCATGCGGGAAAGACGCCCGAGGCGCTTGGCGACGGGGGCGGAGATGAGCTTGCCGCCGTTGAGCATCTTCATGGCGGCGACGTGCCAGGTGGGCATGGCCATCTGGGACATGGCCTCGTGTTCCTTTTCGTGGCGCAGCTTCTCCGGGTCGTCGTGGAGGATGTCGTCGCCGCGGGCAACATTTGCGCTGAGGCGCTTCTTGGCGGACTGGGGCACGACGCTGAGCTGGTACTTGCCGAGCAGCTGGTTACGGTGGAATTCGCGAAGGCATACGCGCTGGGCTTGGAGGGCCTCGAAGCGGGGGAGCTGGTGGACGATGACGTCCTGCTTGCTGGAACGGACGACGTAGTCCTGGAAGGCGCGGTAGTAGGCCGATTCCTGTCTGGAGAGCTTGGAAGGCAGACGACGGGGGATATCGGTCTTGGAGACGACTTCGGAGAAGCGGACCATCTTCTTCCTGGGCAAAGAAGCAGGGATCTCTTGCTCGGGGAAGTGCTCGACTTCCTCGTCGGCGGCCTCGGGGATGGTGTCGAGGCTGTTGTCTTCCTCAATCTCCTCTGCAGCCTCGACGGGCTTCAGGTATGCGCGCTGGGCTCTGAGCCAAAGCTCGGTGCGATCCAGGTTTGAGAGGGTAACCTCCTGTTGCTTGCGAGCATACTCGGGGTCGTAGACCGTCACGATCTCTGTCGGTACGTCCTCGGCATCGGGAGAGGTTGGCTCAGCAAGCGTTGCCGATGAGCTCGAGGCGTTGGCGGGGACGATGGGCCTGGCAGTTGGCATGTCATCCTCATCCATCTCCTCATTGTCTATCTCGATAATCTGCTCTACAATCGCAGAGGATGAAGGGATCGAGCTGCGATAGAAGTCCTCAGCGGCATCGTTGATGATAAGCTTGGCGGGTGCTGAAGGCACTGGAGGCACGGAAGCGTCCATGTTCCAGGGGCAGCGGTAGAACTGCTCGGCGGTGGTTGATGTTGGCGGCACCACATCCTCGATGGCCGCCGCGGGCATGTGCCATGTTGTCCTTGTCCTGGGAGAAAGTCCAGAGAAGAAGCCGCCAGGGGAAGGAATGTCGAGTTTGGTGAGATCGGCCAAAGACTGACGGCGGGAGTTCGGCGTAAGGACGGCTGCGCGCGGTGCTTCGGGACGGATGTTGGTGAATAAGCGCAGAGGCTGTTGGCGCATCTCGGGGATGGGCTCTTGAGGAATCTCGAGGACCTGCTCCGAGTGGTCTTGATCGTGCTCGTGCAGGCTGTCGTTATCACCAGAGAGGGCGTGCAGAGTTGCCAACGCGCCGGGTTGCAGTCGCACACCCGACCAGTCTTCATCCTTGCCATTGTCGCTGCCGATGATGGGCGTTGGCGGCGCTGACATGTGTGCCAACTGCTCTGAGCTCAGGCTGCCATCGAGTGATGGTGGTGCCGAGATTGTAGGGATCTCTTGAGCCTGCTTCGCCTGCATGAATGAGAAGACCTGAGGAGACATCTCGACGCGAGTTGGTGGTGTTGGTGGCACTGGTGATGCGAGGGTCTTCTTAAGACTAGCAGCAGACCAATCATCCGTAGAAGTATTCCGAGCGCCGGGAATGACGAGGGGAGGCAAAGCTCTGCGAGCACCAGTCGCGTTCTGCTTGGCCATCTCATTGCGACCAGAGTTGCGCCGCCTCACGGAGGCCTTGCGGGATGGTACTCGGCGCAGCGAGGTTGGCTCATCCTCATCGGTGACATCGTATAGGTCGTCGAACTCGGTGACATCGGTCATGACGCTTGATCGGTTGTTGTTCCACGGGTTTGACGATGTCGAGGGAGAGCTGCTCTCATCGGCTGATACGGTCGATGGCGATGACGGCAAGATGGGAGCGGAGAGGAAGTGGAAGCCTCTTGGTGTGGGAAAGTGGTCGCTTAGGGGCGATAGCCAGGCCTCAATGTTGAGGTTTGAGGTCTGACTCCTAAGCTGCCTTTTGTCGGTGGCATACTGTACATCCTCGCTCTCCTCCTCCATTATAGTATTAAGTGACCTCCCCTGCCTCCGAGCCTGCGAAGGGGAAGGAGGTCTGTATGTTGATGAGGGTAAGTGAATAATCTCAGCCATTTTCCCCTATGCAGTCAGATATCCTGATATAGACTTGCGGTTCCTATGTGCTGTAACGGTATAAATATAGGCAAAATGCGACGTTGGGTGTAAAAACAGCTTTGGTCGTAAGACGGCCGGCGTCGTTGCTTTGGTGAATGTTATTATTTGAATGGTAGTAGGAAAATCGTGTAAACGACAGGCTGCCTCGATCAACGAAGCCTTAAAGGTTGGTTTGCAAACAGCAATGACGCGGAGAAAGAGATGAGAAAAGGAAAAAGGAGGAATAGAGGAGGCTCGGCGGTTGGCCAGGGCCAAGTGATATACTCTGATGAGGCCTTGCTCAACATCAGTAGCATGGGCGGGAGGCGGCTAACTAGTAGGCCGCGCGAGTGGGTTGCGAAGTACGAACACGTTATGCGCACACACAAACGCATGACGGAACGGTGAGATGCGCACCCAAGACGGACAGCACAGCATCTTTGGACTGGTGCATTGCAGTCAGTAGGTAGCACTTTGAATGCAGCGCGCCTGCTGCACACACTGCATTGGCCCGAATGGGGATGTGCTACCGGCGCATGGGAGGCAGCGATGAGGAGACGACGAACACATCCCCGTCCCAAAAGGTTAACCCATCGAGCGAAGAGCAAGTCTTCTGGCCAATGGGCACACAAGGAAGAGAATCTAATTTAAGCACATGGAAGCAGAACATGGCCTTTGTGAGCGTCCACGGCGTCGACTGGCTGGCGCGCGCGAAGAAGGGAGGCGGGAAGGTGGGAGTAAGCCTGATTGGGGATGCAGAACTATCGTGCCACCGACCAATGGCAATGACAGGCGCTCGGCGGGCGCTTAGAAGCGACCTCGATTGGATGGCTGGTCACTTGACAAAGCTACATCTAGTAGTTGAAAGGTCTCTGAGCTGGCCTTGCGGAGAACAAACTATTGACTATCGCATGAAGCTCATCCGGCCTCTTCATGCAAGAATCTGGTGGAATATCGGTCTTGACTGCTTGATCCGTGAAGCAACATACGCCGAGCTCAGGCTTGGGCGTCAATGTTCTCAAGCTATAATGTTCCGTTTCAGTCCCGCCGAGAGCAAAGGCGGTGACCTCACCTTAGGAAACAGAGGAGAAGCACTCCGTAGACCATCACCGAATGCGAACGGCGAGCGGCGGGGGTGTTGATGCAGGTTGAATCACTTGCATGCCGAGTATTCGCTTCTTGTTGGCGATGTCTGTGGGGGAAGTGAATTGGAGCCTGACATTGACAGCGGCAGCGCGGTCGGCGGCAGTCAGCTTCCTCGTGGCTGGAGCTTCGCCTAGGTAACTGCCCCTCCCGCATCACCAGCCACATCAATTACCTAAGCAGCAAAGATGAGGTGGTCTGCTAAGGCAGTTGATCCATTGCCCCGCCATCGAAATCAACCCCGCAGTCGGCCGTCCTTGGAAGACCGAGAAGAGAGAGAGGCACGCGTTCCCTACGTACTTGATTCCTCTGCTTCACATCCTTTCCGAGCGACCCTTTTACTTTCACAAACGGCTCTTCCAGATCGTGATGGCCGACAATGACAAGTCAGAGACCTCTGGTGAGCCTCAAGGCCGCCATGTAACTTACTGCGGTGGTAAGTCAATACGCCCAAACCTGACTGACAGAAAATGCAAATCCTCGAGGCTCAAATATTGACTTATTACCCCACGTGTAGTCTGCACTCTTCCCCCAGAGGTATGTTCTGGCTAAGCGAAACGCCGCAAGCCTTCGGGACATTAATTGAACCCCTCCCAATTTAGTACTGCGAGTATGGAGGCACTGTAAAGAAGTGCCAGGACTGGCTGGAGAAGAAGCATCCCGACCTTTATGCGAGAATCTGGTCAGCAGGTACGTGGTACCTCATCTTCTAGCCACTAGGACGAGATGCTCACAACTTCATCCATAGAGGCCCTTGAACAAGCAACCGCATCCCTTTCAGTCGACGCCCAGAAGCGAGCCGCCAAAGACGCACAAAAGAAGGCTGCCAAGGCCGAAGCTGCTGAGGCCAAGCAAGCCGACAAGTTGGCCAACAGTATGGTCACTATCAAGCGGATCGAGCGCAACAAGAGAAAGTATGTCACGTCAGTCTCCGGTCTCGAGTCATTCGGTCTTGAGAACAAGAAAGTTGCCAAAGAGTTTGGAAAGAAGTTTGCGACTGGCTCGTCCGTCACCAAAACCCCAAGCGGCAGCGAGGAGATTGTCGTTCAAGGAGACGTCAGCGACGAGATTGAAGAGTTTTTGTTGGAAAAGTATAAGGAGATACCCGAGGATAACATTGAGTTGGTCGAGGACAAGAAGAAAAAGGCTGCCCCGACAGCTTGAGCCTTGAAAGGCGTAATCCATCAATTGAGTATGCCTGGCCGTCATCATGTTTCTGTCATTATTCCCAGTACGCCATGTAAATCCAATCCATAGCGATTATGCCCAAGTACGCCCAGCACACACCCCGCCATGAAAGTGACAGTGTCAAGACAAAGAATGGTTGCTCCCCTGAATCCCCGCAGACCTAACCCCTTTTCCGAAGTACTCTGGTGGTACTCGCCGCAGATGCCGGAGCCGACTTGGGCGCTGCAGGCTTCCTGGCAGTTGCTGCGCCAACTCCCTTTCTAATTGTGCCCATTACGGTTCTCTTCGCGGGTGCTCCTGCTGTTGTCTTCTTGACAACTGTCCCGGTGCTGCCCTCACTGGAGTCGCTGACTCGCTTGCCAGTCCGCGTTCCAGGCCGTGACGGAGCTTTAGCTGCCGTAGTTGTGTTGGCTCGTCGCGTTCGTGTGGGAGGCGCTGTTCCCGTAGCAGGTGCAGGCGCTGATGCGTTCGAGCTGGCCGTTGACGCATTCAAGGGACGCGAAGGAGCTGTGCGACTAGTCTTCTTCGCCTTCTCCACCATGCTCGACAGAGCTGATCGGGCGCTGTTATGTTGCTTTACGGGAGACGATGTCGGTCGCGCAATCTGAGAGGATTTCGACGGCGAGGAAGGCGGTCGCTCGCGTGCCAGAGATCGGGTGTTGGATGAGGTGGGCGACAGGACTTGCGACGAACTCATTGGGGCTGGGGCAGCCCGGTGCTTCTTTTTGGGGTTGAGAATTTGCTCGTTCTCCTTGTCTCCGCCCGCGATAGCATCACTACAACATTGTTTCAGTAAGGTAAAATGCTATAATTTCATGTGCAAACAAACCTCAGTCGCTTAGCAGGGCGCGCTGGCGGTGCCAGCTTATTCGGGCTTCCCCGTGGTGGAAAGTCCTTCTCGGGAACAGGTGGCGGGCGCGAAGCGGCCTCAAGACGTTTCTGTTGCTCGAAGGCTCTAGCTACCAGGTCGGCCATGGTCATCTTCAGCATGGCTCTGGGAACACGATTGACGCGCATCTGGATTCGTGATCGAAGGGTTTGTGCCTGCTGGTTGTATTGCGCGCGCAGGCGCCTGGCGCGATCGGTGACTATGAAACGATTAGAAGACACGATCAAAAGAACGAAGGATTTACTCACTCTCTAACTGCAAGTTATCGATGATTGCCTGTTTTTGCTCCAGGGAGATTCCAAGCCTTTGCCGCTTGCTCGGGCTGCTGCTTAGCATGGGAGGCGTGCCAGCCTTCGCAGATACCATCTGTCTTTGTGACATCGTGGACTGCTGCTCCGTCTCATCTGAGCTTCTCTTATTCGTTCGCGCGGGAGGCATGTTGTCTGCTCAAGATTGCGAGTCGTTGTGGGTGAAAGCTTTTGGCGCTGGAGCAACGTGCCTGATCGCGACGGGAGCGTGAAAGTTGATGGAGCTAAGGATGATGGGGCGGAGGCTCTGTTATGAGTGGCTAGTGCTCTAGAAAGTAAACAAACGTGACAGCGGGTAAGGCCCTTACCTAAGCCAATGGAAGCTTGTCCAGTCCCGGCCATTCATGGATCTCCAAAGGTTCCACCTAAAATCGGCAGCCGTAGCCCTGTGTATCTTATTAGACCAGGTGAAATCCGAATCCGTACAACCTGTTGCAGTCCTACCACCGCGTCTAATGTCTTTACTGGAATCAGCACGTACCATCAAAAATCGCAGATACGAACTTTTAAAGACTCATTGCTGGCAATTGACATGTTGAGGTTCGTAGGAGTACAGAGTAAATTGAACAGAGACTGGAACATCTATAACCCTGTATTAGTTACAGAGGTCCGGCGGGAAGAGTGATGTACGGACTATACCTGTAATTCAAACAGCTGGGCTTGCACTTGCACAGGGTGGCTTCCCGATACGGCTGTTTGTCAAGGCGCCTGGCTCGGAGTCTCGATACTTACATGCAGGCAATGACTACCCGGACGCTCAGGTACCTCTACTCGCACCTCACGCAACCAGCGTCACCAGGCTGAACTGCCTTACGCAGGAGCTCTCCCACCCTGCCTACCTTAACCCACGTCGAACACCAAGCTTCCCTTTCCCATCCGAAGCTCGCACGATCAAACACCGCTCAACACCGCCATCCTCGAACCTTTGAGCAATTCCAAGCTCGTCGACGACATCACAAAGCATTCGGACTCCACAATTTCCACATAACATCATCCTCCTCCCGTAACACACGTCGGTGCCCCGCCCGAACCGTCAAGATGGTCCTCGAAGCGGTGATGGTCGTTGTCGACAACAGCGAAAGCAGTCGCAACGGTGACTACCAACCCACAAGATACGACTCCCAAGCCGACGCCGTCAACGTTATTTTCCAGACCATCACAAATGGAAACCCTGAGTCCTCGGTCGGCTTGATGAGCATGGGTGGCAAGGGCCCCGAGGTGTTGGTCACCCTCACGACAGATCAGGGCAAGATCCTGGACGGATTGCACCGCACGAAGACCAAGATCAAGGGAACATCACACCTTGCCACTGGCATTCAAGTTGCCGGCGTGAGTATATTCGCTGTCATCGTTGCCACGAAACCTTTTACTAATGTGTCCCTCAGCTTGCCCTCAAGCACCGTCAGAACAAGTCCCAACGACAACGGATAATCGTCTTCGTCTGCTCGCCCATCGAGGAGGAAGAGAAGAAGCTAGTTCAGCTAGCCAAGAAGATGAAGAAGGGCAACGTTTCGGTCGATTTCGTACTGTTCGGCGACCTGGACGACGACGACACGCAGAAGAAGCTGCAAGCGTTCAACGAGAGCGTCAAGGGTGGTGAGGGCTCCAACCTCGTCGTCATTCCCCCAAGCAGCAAGCTTCTTAGCGACCAGCTCATCTCGAGCCCGATCCTTCTCGGAGACAATGCTGGCGGAAGCGGCGGTGGCGGCGGCGGTGGCGGCGGCATGGAGAGTGGCGGCGCAGGCGGCAACTTTGGCGAGTTCGACTTCGACCCTGCCATGGACCCGGAGCTGGCACTTGCGCTTCGCATGAGTATGGAGGACGAGAAGGCACGACAGGAGAAGAAGGCGCGCGAAGAGGCCGAGTCCGGTCAGAAGGGATCTCTTGAGGACATTAAGGAGGAGGGTGAGGGTGCGCCTCTCCTGGGCAAGGATGGCGAGTCAAGCAGCAAGAAGGACAAGAAGGACGACGACTCAATGGACACTTCGTAGACAGATGTTTTCGAATTGTCTCTAAGTCATTCTTTGCCTGATCACTACCTCGAGTATGTAAAATAGAATATTGCCTTGGTCCTAGGGGAACATGCAGCTCAATAGAAGGGCCTCTGACTCCTGCAAACGCCGTATCGCAATGAGCGTTACCCAACCCAAACGAAATCAGACTCCCATGAATCATCCTCTCCATCGCTGTGTCTATCATCCGTGGCGACGTTGCTCTGAACCTATCGATTGTTGATTTCCCGGATGTAAGATAATAATTTCCGTTCGAACATCTCGCAGCGGATCGGCATTTCGAGCTGATAAAACGGGTTCTTCATAACGTAATCGCTGTAAAGGTCGTATATCCTCCGAAGCGTTACGTCAATGTTGGTCTGAGTCGTATCGGTGAAGAGCAAGAACTTTGTGCCCGTCATGGTGTTGAAGCACTGCAGCCTAAAATTCTCCGTCTCCATGACCTCTAGTCCCGTTGGCGGCTCAGGCCGTGCTGGTATCCCGCCAGCCGCGGTCACGCTGGCTGCGGTTGCCGCGGCTGCAGCATCTTGCCGGCTCATCAGAGGGTTGAGACGGGCGGTGATGGCATGGACGCTTTTGAACGTTGCGTAAGCATTTCCCCCTCGCTATGAACAGTTAAGGGCATTCGGTTCCTCACCCGTGAAACGTTCCCGCCAAAACAAGATAGTCATTTGTCGTCAGTTGGTTGAGGCCGCCTTCGTGAAATGTGCGGTTGTAGATCAAGCCTCCGGCCTTGTTGATCACGATGAGCGCAAATACGGTCCTATCGTCGAGGTCAGTGAACGGCCATCCTCACTTGGGGCCAGAAGGTGCCTACATAGTTCAGTGGTCGAACCAGCTCACAGCTGGTGACTGTTTGGAAGGGAAATATGGTAATGTTCTGAGATTGTTCTCATCGATGCGATATCTGAAGCATGTACTCATACAGTCGCTCTCGATATCCCCATCTGGCCTCAGGTTCGCTTGGGAGATGTGGGTGAGAGAGCTGGTACTTCGTACCAGTCCTCTTGCCAGCCAGCCCAGCCCAGACAGGTAGGTACCTTCCGCACACCTCACCCTTTCCGCGCACACAAGTCCCCCGTCGCTAAATCCACACCAAGCTCCCTGGATAAACGCCCCCCGCGCCCCTTCTGGTGCCTGCGCTAGCCCCAAAGGCAGTGGGAGGCGCGCTCAGTGGGACACATCCTCTTCTTTTTTTCCCCGACCTGGATCTTCCTGCCCTGGGCGACAAGGCAAGCACCAGGGGTGGCATTCCCAAGACATAGCACCTGCCTTTGGGAAATTCTCAGCCTCATTTACAACCCACCTTCTTCTCACCTCCAGCTTCCGCCGACAACGGCTGCCTGCTCATACTACACACCCCCGCGAATCCATTCGTCTCGTCCAAACCCCCCACAATCAACGCGACGCCAGCTCCTTCGGCAAAGGGTTGACTCTCTGATTGACCGCGCGGACTTTTGAACAGTCTCCCGCTCCTCGAATCAACGACCACGAGTCGCAGATAATCAAAAGATGTCGCACCACGCTCCCACCTCGCGCCCGAAGCCCCCTCCCCCGGGCAGCGAAGAGGCATCGTCCATCCTCAACCTCGGCGAATTCCAACACGTCGACACGCTCACCTTGTCCGAAGCATCACTCGTCATCAACGCGCTCGTGACCAAGCGCAAGATGGATCGCAAGAACATTAACGAGACCGAGTATGTCTAATTCACAATGGCGACTTGCTCTTTGAGCGATGTCCTTCGTCGCCGCTCTTCTTTATGCATTCTCAGACCACTGACAATGTTGCTCCTTCTCTCTGTCTCTGTAGAATGTTGACACAGACTCTCAACTACCTGGATGCCTTCTCCCGATTCCGCCAGAAAGAGAACGTCGAGGCCGTCGAGCGACTGCTCTCCGCACACAAGCAGCTCGCCAAATTTGAGCGTGCACAAATAGGTCCGCGCCCAACCCAAATTCACCGGGCTACTGACGGGACCAGAAGTAATGGAAATGCTAACTATACTTGCCTTCTCTCTAGGGTCGCTTTGCTGCGAAACGGCCGAAGAAGCCAAGACACTCATTCCGTCCCTACAAGACAAAATCTCCGACGATGACCTCCAAATACTCCTCGACGAGATCAGCAAGCTTCAAAGCAGATGACGGGCTTGACCTCCGGCACATTGCATCACAGCCCGGCAGGGGCAGAGACGGAGAGCTGGGGTGTCAGGAGCTGGGCAATCCCAATGAAGTCAGCCTTGATCTAACGCTCATAACACTGTCCCGCGGTTGAAAAAACGAGGGAGTCAGCATGGCCAATGGTTTCAGGGCGAGGGGAGAGAAAATGAAATGGCTATGGAAGTGCTTCTGCGCAAGAAGCATATATTGCATGTTTGGCGTAAATCGGAAGGGGATCAGATTGTCTTTAAGTATGTGTTGAATACCAAATACCCATGAATTCGGCAAACAGGGTTCTATCCGAACTCCTCAAATGATGCAATGATTCTCAAAGGTAGTTGTTTGAAATGCTTCACTGATCACTAAAGGCCTAAGGTAGGCACTGGTCATAGTAACAAGGTGAGTTGAATTCTTCTTTTTCTTCATTGAGGGGAGTAGAGATAACTATTAATAGGCCTAGCTATGGTTGACCTTTTGATCTCAATCTCCAAACCCCTTTTCCATTTGTTGCATTTCCATTTGAACCATCCCAATTGTGCGTTGAATTTACTCTGACAAGAACCAGCAAGATCAGGCAATCGCGTATCCGAAAAGCAAGTCTGGGTATCGTCAACGCCTGACAGAAGCCGAAAACCGAAATCATTTCCTTTCCTCTCCTCAGAGCCAGAACCAAACCTCAAGATCTCAAGCACTATCTCCCGACTTGCTCTCAGGCAGCAGGGTCCCACTTTGACCAACTAGTCACGTATCTACCCTCAGAGCGCTCATGTTGCGTGGCGTTCAGGGTACCGGTGAGGTAGCTGGGAGTGGTCTCCGCCACAGGGTAGAGTGAGCCGCCGTCGGGGCGGTACGGCTTGTACTTCTGCAAGCCGCTACGACTGCTGTGGATTTCGACAACCTTTGGCAGACCAGGAGAGGCCAGTTCAGCAATGGCTGCTTGCTGAGGGGGGCCATGGAGCTCAGGGGTGGCAGTACCCAGCCGAGACATGTGGTCCGGGGTTGTCATGCGGAACGTGAAGTCGGGAGTGGAATTGGCCGTGCGATATCCCACGTCGGGAGTGGTTGTTGCGGTGCGAGACAAGAAGTCAGGGCTGGCTGTAGCAGCTCTGTATGTGCCAGGCGACATCGCAGGAGAAGGAATCGGCGGAGGTGACATCCGCGTAGACATCGAATCGCGGGTATCGGGACTAACCGGGTGATTCATCATCCGACTGGCACTCATATCATTGATTCGGTTGAAGCGAGTTTGAGGCTCTTCGTAGCGTCCTGGTGAGTTTGTCAGCTTCTGTTCTCTTAGACGACAGTGGACAGTAGAAAGCAGCTTACTTCCATAGGGGGAAAAGACCTCCTCAGGACAGAACGGATTGGTAGTCATGGCCGGCTGGCTGGTCTCGTCCTCTGAACTGTGCTTGCGTCCGTCTTTGCTCATGGAGCTGATGGACTCTCGAGAAGCTCTGAGCTTCTTTCTCTGCTTGGTGCACAGAAAGTAGGCGGCGATGACCATACAGATTACCACCAAAGCAGAGACAGCGATGCCAGCCTGCGCAGCGACCGGAAGGTCATGTTGATCAGACTTGACCGCCAGGGCAGGAGCTGAAGTGTCGATGGCCTGGGTCTCGACAGGAACCGTTGGGGTATAAGTGTGGGGAGAAACGAAGAACGGAGTTCCAGTGGAATCATCGGGGGCGATGGTAGAAGCTGGAGAACCACGATTGTCAGTGAGCCAAATGCCTCCGGTTGCGGTCGGCTCGGGCGAGCTGAGGGTGGTAGTCGGATTATCAGAGGAGGTCGAAGACTGGACCTTCTTGTCAGTGGTAGCGGAGGACGCCTTCGACGAGGATGAGGTAGGAGAGACCAAGACCGGCGCGGCGACAGATGCGATGGTCTTCAGGGCCTGAAGCTCCGTCGCAGTCAAGTAAGGGTTGTACTCGTCTGGGCATCTGGTAGTCTCACAAGGGTTGACCTCGCAGCAACCCTCGAAGCCGGAGCAGGTGTAGTGGTATGAACCGATCGGGCACACCTTCGCCTCTCTCGCAGGAATGAAGCCGCCCATGATGGCGGTTGACGATTTTTTTCCTCAAACGAATCAACCGGTATGGTGATAAGTAAAGGAAAGTTTGACACAGTCAATGGGTCAACGAGTTGTGTGCCACCATCGAAACAGTGGCTGCGATGACGATGGCAATGGTAATGGCGAAGGATGAGGCAAAATGGAGGTGTGATAAATGAGCGACGATGAGAAACTTTGGAATGGGTAACAAAAAGGAATTCCTCCAAAGTGAATCAGCGAAGAAGAGAAATGTGTGTCACTGCCAACTCAGTAGTGATAGGTAGACAGGCTGGAGTAGTTTTTCCGAGGACAGGAAGGAGCTTTCGACGGGCGGTAGGTGGTTGGCGGTCTGTCACTTGGGATGGAAGGAAGGAAGGGACGGTTGTGTGACCGGCCTCACCTCGTGCCTGCCTTACCTTGCCTACCATAAGGTAGCTACCTACCTTACCTACATGCAACGTACCTTCCTCTTTTATCACGCTGGCCTACGTGCTCGGGTGACCCGGTGAATGTTGGCCATTTCCATGCCGTGCTTGAAGGCATTCAAATTCGGACTGACGATCCCGCCAAGGCAGCACTACAGTCCCCAGCTTGCGCTTACACGGGAATCTAGAGGTGCCCACGCCTCAGACAGAGACGTCCAATAAACGCCATCTTGTACTACAGAACGGTTCTGGCCCGCGATTCTTTCATGGCCCTGCCCGCCGCGTTCGGGGGACGACTGCGTTGGTGTTTGCTCGCGGATGAGTGCTCCATTAGGTAGGGGTCGAATGTCGCCCCTCGCAGGAAGACGCAAGGGCCAGAATCACCAGGCGACGGAAACGGAACAGCAACGTCGCACAAGCCCAAATGCCAAATGCATCAGACCCGTTGCTTCTGCCACCGCGTCACGGACCGAGACAGTGCCCGACATAAACGGGTGGCCCCTAACCGACGGGAATGGCTCAGATGCGCGGCTTGATCTCAATCAAGGACGGTTGCGATAGAGAAAACATGTCACCGCTCGATGGACGGGCAACGCCCAAAAGCTTTGAATCTTAAACCAGCCAAACCAAACTCCATCTATTAATGCCACCACCCCAGCTAAACCTATTGCACGCCATCGACACACCAGGTAGTCAGACTGCCACGCCTGTGTGGGTATTTCAAAACATTGGAAAACTTTTTGCTCGCCAGTCCGGTTACGTTTTATACGATATCGCTTACAACTTCTCCAACAGAAGCTTGCTGCCAAGGTTGCCCACGGGCTTGTCTGCCTTCTTTGCACCCTTCTTGCCCTTCTTGGCGCCCTTCTCGCCATCCTTCTGAGCCCTGGCCTCCTTGGCCTCCTTCTGCTCCGCCGTCTCTTCAGTGGCGGCCTTCTGCAGGTCTTTCTTGTGCTTCTTGAGCGTCTTCTTCAGCTCAGCAGCGTGGCTAAAGTCCTCGGCTTCCAGCATGTTGAGAACGACGAAGGAACTCGGGCCAGTGGCCCAGTCCACAATGTAGTCCTTGATAATCGGGTACAGAACATCGGCGAATTTCAATGGCGGCTCAACGGACTCGACCTTGCCAGTCTCCTTGTTGAACTTGCCTCCTGCAATAAGCGTCTTGATCAACCGGCCTCCAAATGCTGTCCGCGAGACGTGGACAGGGGTAGGGGCACCTTCCACCTCCATGGGCTCCGCGCTAGGGTCGCCCTCAGCGACCGCTGCTACGGCCTCGAGAGCTGCCGTCTTGTCACCCTCCGCAGAGAGCAGAACGTCCGCAACCAACTGGCAACCGAAGGGGTCTGCGACCAAAACCGGTGCAGCCTCGACAACGGCTGTGATGAGCGCAGGCGACATAACGGCAATCAACTCCTTCCTTCTTATTTCGGCGTCCTTCTTACTGGTGGTCTGGCGAATTGCATGAACCTCCTTGAGAATCGCAAGGTCGTCGCTCATGTTATCGGAGAAGAGAGCGCGGGTCTGGCCCTCCAACAGATACAGAAGCGTGGCCTTCGCGAAGGGATTTGATGTAGAAACAACGATGTTGTCTGTCGCCTTCTCCTTGTCGTCGCCAATCAGCTCGGGGAAGATGGCCTTGGATGACATCTTCGTGTCGTCAATGACATCGAAAGCGGTGAGGATCACGATGTGAGCGTTGGGGTCACCCGACATTAGCACGAAGTTGTCCTTGTATGCCTTGAGCAAGTTTCTGCGGTCCTTGGAGGAACCGTGGGCCAGAAGCAAAGCCACCAAACGGGATCCAGACCGAGTGAAGGCCATGTTCTTCAGCAAATCACCCTCCTCGTCGTCCTTGATCATCTCAACAAACAGGTTGAAGTTCTCCGTGCCGGGCTCGACATTGAGGAAGTACTGCAGCATGGCGTCGTGAAGCATCGTGAAACCGGTCATCTTCTTCTGAACCAGCGAGTTGATCATGTCGTTGAGACTCTTGAGGATGTAGGCTTTTTTGCTGGGGTTCTGCTCGAGGATAGTCGCCAGGTCGGAGGTCGGCTTCTCGTCCTTGCTGCGCTCGAGGAGGGCAAACTCGGGTCCGTACCATTCTCTCAGAAGGATGGCCTTCTGCTCCTTCGTCGCGATTTGTCTGTAGATGTCGTCCAAGATCCATGAGGCCTCGGGGTGGTTGATCAACTTCCGCACCTTACCGTAAAACTCGGGAATGATGAGATCCTTGATCTCGCCGTCGGCCTGAACAACCATTTTGGCGATGAGGAACTTGGCATATCGACTCTCGGCAAGCTGGGTGTAGGTGCCCTGCAGCTCGCGGGTAATCTGTTTCCGTTGGGTAGCCGTGGCGTACTTGAGGGCGGTCTGGACAGCGCGTGTGGCGTCGTGCTTGAGGACGAATTCCTTGACGCGGCCGGTGATGATGGTGAAGAGCTCATCGACTAGCTGCTTCCGCTCCTCGGACGGAACATGGGACTTCCTCCGCAACCTCTCCCAGATCTTCTTGGTTCGAGCGAGTTCGTCGGCGAGGGGCTTGGCCATTTTGCGCTCCAGAGCGAGCTTCTTCTGAATGGCATGAGACTCTCTCGAGTTCTGGCCTGTTTCAAATAACATAGTCAGCACAATTGCAAGCTTGCGCCGGCTAGGTAACGTATCGCCTAGGTTCCTTACCTCTCTCAAAGTTCTTGTTCTTGTCAGCGCCATTGGCGCCATCCTTCTTGCCCTTGGCCTGAGCCTGCTGGGCACGATCACGAGGGGTGAGCTGGACGCCGCCGTCGTCTGAGTCCTCAGAGTCGTCCTCGAAACTTCCCTCGTCATCTTCCTCGGGGGTCTCGACGGGCTGGGCCTTCTTCTTCGACTCGACCTTGGCCTTCTTGTTGAATTTGCCGTCGGCAACACCCTTACCAGCGGCAGGGGCGCTCTTTCTCTTGACGCCGGTGGAAGCCATTGTGAGGAATTGGCTGGCTGTTGTGGTTGTGGTGGACAGCCGGAATATCGATCGCAAAGTGTGAACGTTTTCTCGGCGTACAAAGAAAGCAAAGCGACTGGACTGCACGAGTGGGAACTGAGCGGTCGCAATTGCTTAGGGAATTTCTGAAATTTTTATTTGAATTGCCGGGCGGTCAGAGCCACGCTAAGCTGGATTCAACTCACCACCCCACCACCATGCATGTACGTACCTCTCTGCCATCAACGGCCATCTTTGAGCCGCCAGCTACATCTTCAACGGCGTCTTGTAGTTACAACCCAGCAACCAGCGCATTGCCTCAAGCTCCCAGAACGCTCCTGGAAGATAGAGACACTCAAAATGGGGCGCGAAGAACAAGTCGAAGAGCGCGAGGTGCTCGAATCCATCTTCCCAGATGAGATCACCGGTACGATTACCCCACCATGCCACCTTGAGCCAGCCCATCCACTAAACCCCAGTTCACAGATATCTCAGAGACAGAGTTCAGAATACAAATCGCCCTAGACATCCCCGGCGAAGAGGAGGACCCGCCAACAATGTTCCTCCAGGTCCGATACCCAGACGCATATCCCGACGAGCCACCCACCCTCGACCTGCAATCCGTGCGTGATGCCGCGCCCTACGAGTGGTTCAGCGTCGCGGAAGACAAGGAGCGGCTCCTCCAGGGCCTCGAGGAGACGATCCAGGAGAACCTGGGGATGGCCATGGTCTTCTCCCTCGTGTCGGCTCTGAAGGAGGCCGCGGAGATGCTCGTCGAGGAGCGCAAGCAGGAGAAGGAGAAAGAGAAGGAAGAGCGGGCCGCTGCCGCGGAGCGCGAGGAGAACAAGAAGTTCCACGGAACACCCGTGACGCCCGAGACGTTCCTCAAGTGGCGCGACGATTTCATCAAGGAGATGAAGGAATTGAAGGAGAAGGAGGAGGAGGAGCGCCTCGCCGAGTTGAAGAAGGCCAAGGTCAAGGAGCCGGTCAAGTTGACGGGCAGGCAGCTATGGGAGCGTGGTCTCGCTGGCAAGGCTGACGTTGATGACGAGGAAGAAGGGGGACTGGCGGAGGGTGTCGAGAAACTCAAGGTTGAGGCGGTATAGCATCCGTCATGAAGGGAAAACAAATTCAGTGCATTTACTTGGCGTTTTTTTTTTTGGAAAGGGGCAATCTAAGAAGATAATGGTTGCGGTTGTGGCTCTCAAACCTCATCTATATATGCCTTGATGAACGATCCTCCTGCGGAGAGAGAGGGACCTCATGACTTTTTGACAACTTTTCCTAGTACCAAACTCCAAACTCCCAAGTCCCAGTCGATGAAGAAAACTTTCCCAGTATTCATAGCGTTTATCATCAACGTTGCTGTCTTATATGAAGGTGCCAATCATGCCATGCCATTTACTCTTCCATCGCCTCGCCATCATCACTGCCAGCATCTTCCCAGCCGTCGTCGTACTCCTCATCCTCTGCGCCAGCCGGGGGCTCACCGAGCTCCTTGTTGATAGAGGCGAACAGCTCCTTGGCGTGCTCACCCAGCCTCTCGTCCTCGTACTCCTGAGCCTCGTACAGCTTCAGGCAGCGCATCAACCACCGCCGGGCCGTGTCCCACGTAACCTTCCAGTCCTCCTCGTCCTCGCCCAGCTGCGCCGTCTCGCCCTTGGCCTTGGCCTTCTCGCCGGCAATGAATAGAGCCCACCCGCCGAGATACCAGGCCTCGACGCTTTGGTCGTCATCGCCGACGAGTCTCTCAAGGACCTCAATTGCCTCCTGCTCCATTTCCACCTCGAGCAGCAGCCGCACCAGGCTGATGCGCGTAGGGAACGCCGGCACGTTGGGATCCAGCGGCGGCAAGTCGACCCACAGCTCCAAGCTCCTCGTCAGCGCCGCCTTAGCCTCGTCAATCTTCTCCTGCGATATCCGCACGTTGGCCACCGTCTGCCACGTCTCGGCCGAGTCAGGCGCAACCAGGCCGGCCTCGGTGACGAGCGCCTCGCACCTCTGCTCCGCGTCCGCCTCCCATGACAGGTCCGTCATGTACACCTCGGCCACGGCGCACAGCGTCCCGCCCAGCTTCTGCTTCTTCTCCTCGAGCGCTGTCCCCTGTTCGGCGCTGCGCTTCTTGTCGCCGACGTCTACGAGCGCCTGAATCTGGCCCCGCAGCGACTGCGCGCCTTTCTCGAACCAGTTGACGCTGTCTTGCCCTCCCTCCTCGCTCAGCTGCGCGAGCCAGAGAAACTTTTCCGGACCGCCGCCTATGCGCTCGTCGAGGGCGCCCTCCGGGTCCAGCTCGACGGCGCGCAAAAAGTACGCCCTTGCCTCGTCGACCTCGCCCATCTCGATGCTGATTTGGCCCAGGAGGTTCAACGCCGCCAGCTCATAATCGCCCCCTGCACCCGTGACATCGAGAGCTTCCTTGCCAGCTGAGTAGGCGCTCTCCAAGTCTCCTTCTGTCAGTTTTGTGGCGGCTTCAATGAGCTTGTGTGCCGCGTTAGCGGGCTTCTTTTGCGTTCTCTTTTTCGACTTTTTGTTGGGGCGAGTTGGCGCCATTTTGTTATGGGAATCTGTTGTTTGGACACAGAAGTATCCGATTATTCTTAGCTAAAGAGTTGTGGATTTTTCATGAATTGGTCGTAAGGAATCTGATTGAGTGATATGAGTGAGGAATGAGCTGCACTCACGAGGCAAGGCAGAGTCGCAATGGTGGGTTCAAACTGGGCCAGTCGAAAAAAATTCTTATCGCACCGTTGTGATCTTATCGATAACGCCATGACGATGGCGGGGTCATTCGACACCGAAAACCTCCCCCTCACCGATCCTCACCGGCTCGCTACCTTATAGCTAAGTGGTGAATAAGTCAGGTCCATTACCTCTTTCCACCTCAATCATGGTGTTCTTGGTTGTCAGATTGGGATGAACTTCAGACTCAGTGGCTCAGCAAGTCACTAAATTTTCGTGGTGTACCTGTAATAGACTACCGCAGTCCGGCGCACCCGAGACCGAGAAGAAGGCCGGCTGTTCCGTACGTAATAGACAAGCCAAACCCAGCTGCTTGGTTGATGAAAACTCGGAGAGTGCAATTCTGTGGGACTGCGATACACGACGGGCAAATGAAAAGAATAGTCATTCATTAAGATGTTGATCTAGGACTGAGCAACCTGGTGGAGGCAGTGTCTTAACTACATGTAATTCCTGGCCCCGCCATCGTCCATAAAATAACGAGATCATCGATGATAAGAATGACAGGCCGCCCATCAGATACCAGCCTGGTCCAGTTTTTAAGACGCCGTCGCTAATAAGCACCCAAGGACAAATGTACCAACCGGACTCCGTTCCCGACCATGTCCCGTTCCGCTTGCTCAGAGGAAGTAGGTTACCCCTCTTGTGGAATTATACATCGTGTACAATAAGACTCATTAGCCTCCTTGAGATGGCATTAAGTGACCTATTTAAAATGAAATAGAAGAAAAGGGAAGGAAAGTGCGCATTGACAGAGTGGCAAGCTGCACTAACTAACCTCTGCCTCCCGCTGACGAGCTCCTGCTGGAAGGCCCTCGTTCGTCGACGAGCTCGGCAGAAGTGCCTAGTAAATCGACATGCTGGTCAGAGCCAGGGTCGACTCTACTAATGCTGTGCTGCGCGACTACCCCATAGCTGGTTGGCCGCTCGGTACTTGGCGTCCTACGGATGTTGAACTCTTCCAGGGATGAACCGTTGGAAGAGAGCCGTTTTTGATGAGATGCTGTCCGCTCGAAGGGAAGTCGCCCGGGGTTTGGGGATGATGTCAGGCTACCCTGTGTTGTTGTGCTTCCTGAAGGCTCGCCATTTAACGGCCCGGCTGGCGACGTCGGCGGTATGAGGTTGAACGATGGAGCTGGGGAATGCCCCCGACCCATGCCAGAATCTCTCTTTGAGCTTTTCCGAGGTATTTCGGGTATGTCCGACTCCGTGGATTGGCGCCTGTGTTTCTGTGAGGCTGACCTGCTTGCCTTGGAAGGGACCCGACTGGGCAACTTGAAGCTGCCAGAACTCGCGATTCCTGGCAAGGTTGGTGGTGCATCAGACACTTTCTGTATTTGGATCTCTTCGATCTCCGATTCGACCGAGATAACCGAGACACCATCGTCGTTGAGTAGATTTTCCGAGTTCTCTGCATTCTCGAGGTGTTTCCGTGCCGCTTTATTCTTCGGTTCATCGTCATCCGATTCAATGGGCCCGTTTCTCAAAACACCCATGGCCACCGGAATTCCCTCTGGTGGGGGTTCGGCGTCGTACTCTGCGTCGGCGGCTGCACGCATGGCCGGTGGCATCCGCGAGCTTCGCACAACTTCGAATCCTTTGCCCTTCTCCTTTGTTTTGCCCCCAAACATGTTGCGGAACCATCCTGCAGCGGTAGCCATTGGTTTGGTCGGGTCAGCAGGGCCAGTTCTCAATTTACGGCCGATTCCCTCCGAGTTGAGAGCAGGTCCTCGAACGCCATAGTAGAAGTCCACCTCTCTCGTTGAGTAGTCTGCTCTCGGGGTCAAGTTGATGGCTTGAGGGGCGGGCGTTGGGCCCCTTGACAATTGTGCTTCTAAGTCTGCTGCAGCGTCGCCAAGATGTGCTCCTCCCTGGCTGTAACGTCGAGAGTCTGCGACGGAGGCCCTGTGAGGAAGGGACGTGGACGATCCATTGAGAGTGTCGCCACGGCGTCGCGGAGGTCGATAGTAAGGATCGGCAGACTCGACGGTGACGGCAGCGGGGGGCCGTGTGGCCGCAGCAGGTGACGGCAAGAAAGAGAACGTACTAACTTCACCTGGCGTTGTCGGCGTGAAGTTGCTGCCACTGTCGAAGTTGCGAACTTGGCCGGTATAGGGGTCGATGCTGTCTAGTGCGGAAGAACTCCGTTGCTGGCTTCGGAGGAGAAAACCGCTTCCCGCCGACTCGCTTCTCAATCTGCCACCCCGCATTACGTATCCAGTCTTTGAGTTTTCATCGGCATCGAGCATGCCCGTCGTGGA